TTAAGGATTTATAAATTACCTGTTTTTAATTGATTAAATGACGTTTTTTAAAGCCTCGGCGTACGTGGTATAACGCTGGACAATCTGAAACATTTATGTAGGAACACATACCTTGATATATTCTTAATCTTAATATTCCATCTTACATGAAGAAAGATGTTCAACTACAATGTTTAAAATGGGTTGTATGTCTACTCTGATAACTGCTGTAGATTTCAAAACTCACCTTCTAGAATATATCTCAATCGACTTTATCATTAATTCTCAATTACACTTACATGATATTCCATATAATATAAAATACATTTCCATACAGTATGTCTCAGGGATATGAATATTAATCTATCCTTCATTTTATATTTCTATGCCTGTATATATATCATATAAATGTGATATTTCTCCCATGAATATATTATACAGAGTTGCGCATGATACCATGAAGTATTAAATATTCAAATATATTATCATCTCTCTCTCTCTCTCTCTCTCTCTCTCTCTCTCTCTCTCTCTCTCTCTCTCTCGTTATATGTTACATATAACATTATATATAACATGTTGTGTTACCTATCTCACTGATGTATTCTATTAAGTGTCATGTGTTACTTTCAACAAAAAGCAAATCAGGGAAAATAACTCTTACAAAAATTCTAACAGAAATAACTCTTACAAAATTTCTAACAGAAATAGCTCTTACAATTTTTTTAACAGAAAGCGTCACACACAAGGAAAAGAGCATCTTAAGTCTTAAGCTTTGTGAACTGAGAGGAGGAACGTAGGAGATATCGAAACAAAATATAAGAACACTCCCACCCCCTAGATTTACGTCTTGTGGGTAGGAAAAGAACATTGCAAGGAAGTGTATTGGTCAACAAGACTTATTATACAGGAATGTCATAAAATATACCCTTGAGGAATGGTATATGAATTATGGAGATGACTTAATTTAAACAGATATTATTATAGATCATAAGAGCAGCGATATTTCAAAACGAATCGTTGAAAAATAATTCACCTTTTTGACAGCGATTGTGGTGAAACAAACGTGGAGGATCCTGCAATAAATTGCAGAGACCTTTGTAAATAGATTTTTAATGTATCTACAACAGTCCGAATTTGGTAAAAAGAACTATTCCTATACAAATCAATTAAATCAACTATCTTTTTTTTCGTTTGTTTGTTTCTGTAAGGGTGATGGAGCTAGAGATGGTCATTTTCGTGTTTTCTGAAAATATACAGTGGCAATTCGGAGAAAACATGAAAAGCAACATCATTATACACTTGTTTAAGACACATACACTATCACCTCTTATTAATTACAATGACTAAAATAGCAAAAATGTGTCTTTTTCTTGGTAAAGTACTTTCATGTTTTCTTCCTGTTGTTTTTCGTCAAAGTTCAAAGTGGACATTTCGAGGGTCTTGTATTTCCTCTCAACAATATCCCGATGAGCAATCATTGCTTCAAGACCTGTTACGTTCAGATCGTGGTTTAATATGTTACTGCCGGGTCGATGACATAGAGGAAGGTCAGTGAGTAGATTTTATACATACTTGTGAATTTCTTTCACACGGGGAAAAAATCGACTTACGCTCAGCGAAGCATTTCCAGAAAATAGTAAGGCGTAGATATGTATCAAAACTATTTGATTTTATAATTCACATATATTTCCATATATTCTTTTCCTTTTTAACATAATCACAATTACAGGTATGTACGGGAGCTGTATACTAGAATAAACGACACTAAATAATTTTAAAAGGAAAGTTGAAAAACGCTTGTCAACTCTAACATGATGGTTGAAATTAAGTGTGTGATAAAACATCTATTTATAGAAGTGCTCGGTGCATACACTACATGAAGCTAAATATAAGTTCTACTCAGAGGAGAACGACACTTTGCTGTCACTATCAATACTATTGGACATATTTCCTTGGTGCTAACAATAACATGGGAAACTTTCTAATTAATTGAGCACGAAGTGTTTAGCGGAAAATCCTTGACAGCTGATTATAGATATACATATATATATATATAGCGTTTATGTTTAAATATACCTAACTCCTATTTTTAATACAAATGTATCATTCCCATGTCTACTTCCCTATTACAAAGTCTTTCTGCATATCGTATACAACTAAGGTATACTGGTACCAGATATCAAAGTAATGTTGTTTACAGGTAACTATTTATATCTAATTGAATAATGAATATTTCATTTGCTTGTTTCAAAATTGACGCTGAAATCTTATTTTTCAAGATATTTGACGTATAATAGAGAATCAAACAGGAAAGTAAATCGCCACTTAATTAACGCCACCTTATGAAATAAACTGAATTTTAATATTTTTAAAAGTTGAATGTACACTCTTTACAAATGAGGTTTAATCTCATTTTGAAGTATTTTGTTACATTTGCAGATAATATTTTTTTTACTTTTCTGTGTATTTTTGCATGATTGCTTTGATGATAATAATGTTTGAAAACATCAAGAATGACTATGCAGTACTGGACATTTTCTATGCACGGTCAACCATAACACTGCATTGTGACGCATGGTATCATCATTTAACTAGTGGTAATATTCCACAGACTCAGTTTCTTTTCCAGTATATTTTTGGAAAACTTCCGCTCGTCCCTTATCGTGTCAAAAGATAAATATGTATAATACGAAATATGCATATATATGATTCAGTTTTTATTACATCTTCTGGTAAGTTGAATGACTTTAAAACAATTTAATCACATGCATATTTAATACCTAGTGATATTGTTGTGTTTTTCTCTTTCCTTGTTTACGTTGTGTATTAAAGATTCTAGAAAACCACACATAAAACCTACTCATCCTAGTGCTGGTGTATTTTGTTTCTTATTCCACACGCGATTTTATAATAAACATTTGTAATCAGATATTGCATCGTAGTTAAGAGTGAACGAATAGATACATGTATTGTTTACCTCACAGTATCTGTTTTTATCTAGTTAAACAAATAGCATAATACATTTCAAACATTTAAATAAAAAATACTGGTTTAATAACTGCCAATCTAAGTGAAAATGCCCTATTTCATTGCAGGGTAGTTTAAACAACGTCAGCAGCGTTATAGCCAAACTTTCCGTAGTTCCGGGTTAGCTGATTGATCTAATGGAACGCAATGGGTATTAAATTTAGTACTGTTTGGCCCTCAGGTTGTTTAAGTGTTATTTCCACATCAAATTAAACTCTCTGTGGCTCTGTATTTTTTCTACATTAAGCACATTCATTCGCGTATTGCATTTTAATACATTAGACGATGTCAAGCCCGGTACAACGTTTCGCTATTGTATGACGCAAGCTAAAAAATACTATTATGATTCCTTTCAAGTTTTAAAATATTAATATTTGATAAATATACCTGAATATTTGGATTTTTATTATTTTATCAATCTCCTTATACTTTTTCAGGGATCTTCATGCAAATCTTTACTTTATTGATACGGTTTTGTTATAACTTTGTATTCTTTAAAACTAATTTAAATAAGATATCACTGATTAAAACACGTGACATGATAAAATACAAGTAAATATTAACATTTTATCAAAAATTGAAATCAAGCTTTTGCAAAAGTTTTTGAATGATGAATTAGAACAAACAAATAAATTGATAAAATGCTAATAAAAAAAGAAATATAAAATACATCATTTAGTCAACTCTTTCAGCCGATCCGAAAATTGTGAGAAAATGAGAAAAATATTAAAAGTGAAAGCGCATGCCATTTTGTAAAAGCGCTTCCAAAATCATCTTAAAGGAATTCAAAAACAAAATCTGCCAAGCTCATTGCACCATTTTATGAAAATTTGTTCCTGCATCCTTGTGACATTTAGATAAATGATTAATTATAATGTGTGCCGTCTTAATATCATATCATTTTACACGTATATACGTAGATTCAAATTTAAAGACAATCGACCGTTCATAATACATTGTTTACATTTTCAACCGTTTCGTTGAAACTTTTAAATAGGGCTGCTAAGGTAACACTGATCAAAGTAATTACACAAATAATTATCATTTATATATTGTTCAATGAGGATATTGGATACTTCAGATAATAAATATCAAATACCAATGCATTTTTTATTTGTATTCATTCCGGAATTTTAAATTTCAAATAGTTACTTTGGCTGTAGATGAAAGAGGAAATTATGATACTATTTATCACTATACTATGACAATACCTTTAAAAATAGAAATGTCTAACCCGAGTGTTAATATTTGCGGTATTATATTTCGTCCTCTGTCTTTCATGCGTCCGTTGTATGTCTACTATACTAAGTAACCTGCAAAAGTAAAAACAGAAGTAAATTTACCGCATCATCAATATTCATAGACATTATCGAAACTCCGGTGATACAGAAAATCATGGAAAATCATGGAATCATAGGCGGTACAATGACATCAAGGCAATCGAAAATAACTCTAATCCCATTACTATTTTTACTGTAAACAAAGGAAATGTATAGGAAATTTTATTGGGTAATTGTTGGATCACATTAAACTGCGTATGCGTAGAGCAAACGTACTGTTTGTTGAACCACATCAAGTGTTAAAGGACGCAAGACACATGACCTGTAAGGGGCGTTTATTAGACAGGGAAAAGAAATATTGTAAGCCACACATACACAGCATGTGGAAATCATAGTTATATGTAGGTGTCAAATTGACACTATCTAAACCAGACCCCACACAATTTATAGTAGTTTAGGATTAACGAGGAACACTGTTGTACTAGAGAAGTTATAAAAGAAAAACAAACGAAAGCGTTGTGAAGTAGATATTTATACATAAAACATGCAACGGCTTAGTGTCTGTGATACAACTCTGACTACATAGTTACATCAGGTTTAACGGGATCACAGTTTCCGAAGAAAATTATAATCTGAGCCTAACTCGACATAACTTTTCGTCATCCTATGATGTCTTTATTGTCTACTGCAATCAGTTAAAATCTAAAAAAAAAAAAAAAAAATGATATAAAGTTTATTTCGATAAAAAGACAGTACAACACGTTAACCCTTTGTCTGGAAATGTTGTATAGATGGAGTTGTGTATTTACTTTCCATTTGATAAGTTAACAAGGCACGATATGCTGTGAAAAAGCTGCTCTAGAAATCTAATTGTTTAATACGGAAATGTCACTTTTAAACGAGACATGATGAGCGGAGATACTTTATCGGTTGTTCGACTCTATCAGACTAGTGATACACAGAGTAAACACATCGTTCACAGACCGAGTATCAACCCAGACAAGTCCTAAGTCTAACAATTATATATTGTTTAAATAACCAGCGTCAGTGAGTAACTGTTCCCTCGTGTGGCTGTTATAGTACTGCGTAACCTGGAGTCCACATCCTGATGAGTACAGCGAGCAACCGAGACGAGGTATGTACCACGTAGTGTCGTATTTATATGGAAAGCATTAAGTACAATTGTATACTTTAAAGCTATTGTAGGAGTCCCTGTTTAGTGTATCCCTGTCTAAATTATGACGTCATCACAAGGACGGCAATTAACTAGCATCGTACAATTATGATACGAAGATATTTTGCAGTTTGTATTCCTTAATATGACTACATTTGTGACATACTCGTTATGGAATCTATTTAGTGTATTGTATGAGTGTTTAATGTATAACATTGTACTACAGTTACTTTATATGTATTAAGTGTATTGTATGAGTGTTTAATGTATAACATTGTACTACAGTTACTTTAAATCTGTTTAGTGTGTTGTATGAGTGTTTAATGTATAACATTGTACTACAGTTACTTTAAATGTTTTAAATGTATTGTATTAAGTGATTTATGTAACGACTTACATTTATTAAAGTAAACAGTATTGCATGACAGTTATGTTACAAAAGTATTATCGAAGATCAAATGATTGTCCCTAAAAGATTCATTTTGCATATATATGTATGTGATTTATTGGTAGTTAGTACCAAAATTTGTTTTTAAACCCCGTCCTAAAGATGTCCTATATAATCAGAGATTCGTAAAGTGACTTCTTCTTTTGTTAATATAGGTATATACATAGTATTTTCTAACGCTTATAATCAAAACACTTCACTAATGATTTGTGATTTATTTTAAAATTGTTAAGGATGATCATTAAATATCGTTTGACCAGTTGGCGCTATCCATGATAAACTACAGGGGGGGGGGGGGGGGGGGGGGGGGTCACATTATTCCTACGTGGTGTCTAGACTCTAAGCCTCAGCTACACATTAGCTAACTTAATATAGCATGTTGTGGAATCTTAATCTTGGGATCCTTAATCTTCTCTGCATGTTAGGATACTGACTTGATAAGACATTTCCCAATCGCTACGTTTCTCAATTCTCGATAGCTGGTCATCTCGTGTTACCGAAACGATTGTTATGTTACAAAAGATCATAGCGACTTCAGGAATTATAATGCAAGGTTTCAGCAAGAATTGTTCAAAATATTTCCGAAAAAACATGAAAAAATCACTATAACTTGTCGCAACCCAGTACAGAGTAGTTTAAGATCGTTGGTAATCCTAACAGTGTGTGTACTACAACAGTTATTTATTCATGCAATGTGCATTTGACAATATCTCTAATGAATGTTACTGTCAATTGTGTAATGTGTATTCTATACAGTGAGTGGTCTAATTATTATTTATCTATGGGTGTGTTATAGGGGAGTTTATTATATACATAGTCTGTTTTATGATATTCATATATAAAGTTTATTGTATGGCAGTTATTTTATTTTATTTTTTATTTGAGAGTTGTTTTTCTACATGATAGTTTTCTTTATATATTTGTTCTTTTGTTTGACAGTAATATAATCAGGCTACAAGGATACCTTACGTCAGTGACGTTCTTCTGGCATTCTTAAAATAATGGGCTGGTTCATTTTCTTGACTTGGTTATCTCAAAACATCTTATATAGCATTCTAACATTTTCCCTCGCACTTATTGCGATGACGCAATTAGACAACTCTAACTTCTTGGATTCCATTGCATCTTCTGTCCCCGTCTCAGTATTGCAATTACTGTCCCCAATTTCTGTCTTGTTTTCATATCTGACATTTCGTTTCTCTCTCTATCTCTTGTGCCCGTCTCCCGTCTATGTATTTTCTCTCATATCTCGCATATTAGTACTTCGCTCTCGTGTCATCTCTTTCTCCTCATATATTTTCAATCCTTCCCATACCCCTTACATATTTCACTGCGGGATATGTAATTATGTTCAAAAATCAAATAACAAATATTTGGTAAAAACATCCAATACATTTTTAAAATGTCAACAAACTGTTATAGTTACATACATTCTGAACATTATGTCTCATTTCAATGAAGGACTGTAAGCCTTTACAAATATTCTTACCTCTTTCGTTGTTTCCTGTTAGACATATGCGTTTGCAACTTGCTTCATTTTGTTAACTATGTCAACTATCCCGTGTTCTATTATTGTTACAAAAACATCTTACGCTTCTAAAAATACTTAATAAATGTGTTACAATATGCGTACTTATTTTTTGCTTTGAAATAATAAGTAATCTTATTTCCTTGTTTATAACATTATTAAAGAAAGTAATAAATATACAGGGGTTTTTTCACTATGAAAATAAAATCCAGATTAATCATTAAAAATTATTTGAAGATTTTTGTTATACATTTCAAATTCAATTTGTTACCCTTTTTCAGAAAAGAATTATCGACCGGAAGGATATTGGAAGACAATTTTAATTATCTTACATCATGACTGACAGAAGAAATTGCAATCGATTTCGCGAAGTAAACATCTTCGTTTATATCCTTGTCGCCATGTTTGGTACTGCATCATGGTTAGCCGTCAATGGCCTCTGGGTAGAACTGCCTATCATGGTCCCTCACTTACCGGAGGGCTGGAAACTCCCGTCATATTTAACAGTGATTACCCAACTAGCGAACATTGGACCTGTTATGCTGACATTTTGGTTTTTGTGCTGCAAATATTCTATCCCCGAGAAGACTTTAGTTTATGTTATTCTGGTTGTAGGGGCAGCCGCTTGCCTTCTCCTTGTGTTTTTCTGGAAGAATACCTCGTATGTACTGGGAACGAATCACAGTTTGGCTTTATTGGTTCTGCAGTTTTTCCTTGCCAGTGTTGACTGCACATCGTCTGTCCTGTTTCTTCCCTTTATGTCCATGTTCAAAACCCAGTATATGTCTGGCCTGTATATCGGAGAGGGTCTGAGTGGCCTGATCCCCAGTCTAGTAGCACTAGGACAAGGCGTGGGGAAGATGACGTGTCAGAATATATCGGTCTTAGACACGACTACAAATATTTCACATAATGAAATTCAACCAGAATATCAAGATCCTTCCTTTCCAGTGGAGCATTTCTTTTATTCCCTCTTCGGTATGGTAGTGATGAGTGGTCTAGCGTTCACACTTCTGAATTACCTACCGTACTGTAAGAGACAACACGTAAAGGTAAAAGAAGAACCCAGTGACGAGGACTTCATAAATAGTTTTAACTTAAACAGTGATTTTTGCCGTAACTACACTACATTTTCAGACACAGTTCACAATCCGTCCATGGTGAATGGCTCCAGTCAAACGTTATTGCCTAACAACAAAAAAGTTCGAACGATTGACATTTATTCTGGCAGTGTCAGCCAACCAGCTCCCCAACAGACGGAAATTAGACGAAGGACTTATGTGTACCTTATCATTCTGATCGGCTGGATCAACGCTCTAGGTAATGGGGTGCTCCCTTCCATACAGACATACTCGTGTCTACCGTATGGTGCCAATGCTTACCATCTTAGCGCCACCCTCTCCAGTATTGCCAATCCTGTCGCGTGTTTTGGAGTATTCTTAGTTCCAGTGTCCTCGAGCCTCGTTATCGGTATTCTCGTCTTGTTGGGTACATCTTTGGCAGCATTCATTATGCTGATGGCTGTACAAAGTCCAACCCCTTTGCTGTACGAAAGTGTCGCGGGTCCTGTGATTATGGTACGAAAGATACATAATAAATACATCCAATGATAATATAGGTCTTTCACACACGGTGGTTATTTCAATATAACTTTTCGTTTTCGAACATGCTTCAAATTTACCAAATATTGTTTTGAATTAATAGCTTTTCAATATTTGACAATTAAAGCCACTTTAAAGATATGCAAATATAAGTCAAAATGGATAAGCTCAACATTGTTCTTTTTCTACATTATCCCTTTACTCATTTTACTTTGTTAATGATTTTATTTTTATTTTTATTCAAAGGTGATGTCATGGATTTTATTGGTTCTATTAATGACGTTCTCAAAGGTATCCATAGCAACGCTCTTCAGAAGAGAAGGTAGAAAAGCTCTGTTTTGGTGTGGCGTGGTGACTCAAGTCGGTTCTACAATTGGCGCTCTTGTAATGTATATACTGGTCAATGAAACTGACATATTCCAAAGTGCTCCTGACTGTCCTTGACATCACGAATTTAATAGAAGATAATGCAAAGATCGTGAAGCACAAAGTTTTGTAATTCTTATGAGAGTTGTGTTTATTTCTCATGGTTAAAACACAACTTATTTCTGATGTGTCTGTATATTTGATAGAAGCCAACGCTAAGTTATATTTTGCAAGACCATGTAGGAATGAAGGCAAAACAATGAAATATGATTTTGTTTGCTTCACACGAACACATATCACACTTGATACCATTCATTGGTTTTTCTAAGTCAAAAGTTAATAGCTTGCTGTGCATTGTAATTAATACCAAATAATGAGTATCAATTTCAAAACCATTGTATATATAACTGTTGTATTACACTACAAGTGTTCAGTCAGTGTTGTACTGAGATTGAAGCGTCAATCATGCATCCATAATGATGTTTGATTCTCCTAGTCATTTTTGTTGATCTCAATTATTAAAAATACTTATACATATTATGAACTTTATATGACTACATACTAGCTGCGTAGATCTGTTTTCACCGAGCTTTTGTAGATATGTTAGTACAAATGTCGCTATCCCCTCATCCTCTGCCGGTGTCGTTGAATGTGTTATTTATATTTAAAATATTTCGTGAATGACATTGGACATAGCAGGTGGACGCCACTGTTTATCAGTAACTTCCTTGCCCTTCGCTTATACCCGTGGTAATATTTATATATAGCAGCCAAACTTACCTTCAACGAATAATAGACGACACTGTTTATCAGTAACTTCCTTGACCTTCGCTTATATCCGGGATAATATTTATATATAGCAGCCAAACTTACCTTCAACGAATAATAGACGACACTGCTTATCAGTAACTTCCCTGACCTTCACTTTTAACCCGAGGTAATATACATATATATATATATATAAAACAACCAAACTTAATCATAAACGACACTGTTTTAACATATTGGATTCTTTTTTACAAGTTTCAGAAAACATGAAATGTTATACTCTATAAAACTGACGGTGCTATATATTGTGTATTATGTTATTTTGGTGGTTCCTATGACTACTTGGCAAACGCACGTTCCGGATAGGCGTATGTGTGATAGATAAGATAGACACAATTGACTGGTCACGTTGTATGTGGACTTAAAAGAGGCTATTATAATAACAGTATCGCGAAATATTAACTATACGTCACCAAGGTATAATACTGTGATATCTTAACAGGCTTTGTAATCACTAGGCCTAGATCTATCTGAGACCAGTAAAGTCCGGTTGTGTAGTCATATGTGACAAATCCTATCGCTCATGTAAAAAGAAAACAAAAGTTTCGTTTCGATGACCATTCGACATCGATTCATTTGTGATAGAAAAACATTATCATATAATCGGGATTAACATTAGAGTTGCGGTAAAATCGCTAGAAAGTTTAAAAAAAATAAAAGGCATTAAAATGAATGCTTAAAAAATTTTAAAAAAGGGAAGAAACCTGAGCACTGAAATATAAAAACATTGTTCATGTCTTATAAATCCTTTGAATAGCTAGCTAGATACAATATCTGTATGTGTATACGATTTACCCATTGTTAACACTGACGAGGACAATACAATCCTACACCGGAGTAACAGTTTAATACCTTGTCACCTGAAAGCAATATATCTAGCAGATTATTTCTGCAAATATACTACACTTGTTAACCTGATTATAAAACGATGTCCTCTTTGGCGGTGAAAGCCAAACCTAGTATTATACAAGATGGTTACGATTTCTGTATTGTAAACACATTGTGGAGTTCGACTCTCGAAATACTTTCAACAAATAAACATGACCAGCCTGAATTATGTTATTAGTTAAAATCAATCGTGTGTGAAAGTGACCGTTACAGGGGGCCGTATATTATAGCTATAGTACAATGAATACTCGAGGTATAGAATAATGTTGCGTATGGATTTAAATGTTGTTAAGTACATATCCACACTCACCGACTTTCTATGACCAGAAACCTACCCACGGTCGATCTACGTCCAAAACGACACGTAATAAACGCCATTGAAGATATTAAGTGTAAATATATTTGGTAATTCGTTTTACTTTCTATGTAATTCGTTTCGATTTTTTTCTGATCCAAAACCTACCCACGATCGATTTCAGTTCAAAACTAAAGATAATAAACACCCGTGTATATGAAACACTGTAGACGTTTGTGGTAATTCATTATATCACTCCTGTGACATTATTTTTGTCTACGTCATCATGTACAGCTTTATGTAACTGTCATATTTATTAAATATTACTCCAACTATTAAATATACAACTCTAGCGATTCTAACGAATGTGGAAGATTATCAAATAATAATTTACTAAAGCAAACTAGTTTTCATTACATTTCACTTCAGTTAATAGTATCATAGAACAACAAGTCCATCTTCCAATTTTTCTATTCTTATTTTATTTAATGATAAACATATTATCACATATTAGTATCGTACTACAATATCCGCTTTGGTTCGCCTCAGTAGCGATTAGATATGGGTAGATAATGATCACAAATGTTAAACGTTAGTTAATCAGAAATAAAACTATGGTGTACGTTAATAGATTATAAATACAATGTACAATGTGTTCATTTACATAACTACAAAGCTTCTTCTCTTATAATAATAGATAATAACCTTATATAATGTATAGTTATAATAAAACATCATAGTGATATCGCACACACGTACACACACGCACACATTCATATATAAACATTCCCCTATCTTGCAATTATAAATGTCCACGGTACCAAAATGATACAAATACTTATGCTTAGTATAACACTTAACACCTGTATATTAATATAAAAGCAGTTTTATGATTAAGCAATATTTTTTTTTTAATTGTACGATAGTTTCGTAATAATCTGACGTAAAGTAAAATTACAAAATGCGATTTTTTTTCAATTAAAGCTATTATGGAAACATGACATAAACTTATTAAAACTTTGTCCGGAAGTAGACCACGCCCTTACCCACACTGCAGGGAACTAACGGCGTCCGACACACCTATCGTATTGCCCGCTATATCTAACTCTCTTCCGGTCTGTAAATGTTGACGATAATGTTCTGGCAACACAACAACAGAATTATCTCCCATCAGGAAACGGTGGCACTGGTTTCCACAAACGAGTTGAATCACTGATTTATATGACGGAGGCGGTGTTGCTGATCTTGGATTCTGATTGATTGACAACAGGCTGGTTATTCGCCCCAGGTCGAAAGCGGATGGGGAGGAGAGAGGATGGCGCCAGCTGGTTTTACAACTTCTTTTACATTTATGTCCAAGAAAGAACTTAAAAACGGCCTCCTGGCCGCTGTCATCCGGGCCGAAGTTGCCTCCCATCGAGTGAATTTTCGGAGCAGTAAGCTGGAACTTGCCGTTTGCGCGGACGCCCTTTACGCCAGTGACTATCATTTTACCGCGTGATTCATGGTAGGCAAAATGACAAAACGCCTCCAATTGTTCTGGACAGCCTTTTTGAATAGTGCCATCGTCATCAACGAATGATTGAAAACTGCCATCAATATAACTTTCGAATAAAGCAAGTTCGTTTTTCCTCAGCTTCCGGTGATGACCATCCGTCATCTTGAATTGTCTATTTAACGTTGACACCGTTTCAATCGTAGTCATAAAACATTTTGGGAATGTGATGTTTTTGAAATTTGTTGCAAAGGCCTCCCCAATAACAGCGTTTTGTATATAGGCCGAGGCTTTCCGGTTCCAAATACCAGCTGCTGTTTTATCGTTGTTGTTGCGATAGAACTTAACAGCAGCCTTGATTGGATCCGCTCCAATCGGATTGACCAATGACATGAGGCCTTTAAAAACGACCATGGTCCCTCCAGTGGCTTTTGGTGAAAAACTGAAGTTTGCGAATCTTTCATCTGATGATGCCGAAGAGGAATAGGTCTCGTTACTCAGTTTAATGAAATTCGTCATTCTGATTTTTATTCCTCTGATTCTGGAAAAGAAAATGGAAAAACGATTATAAATGACGAAAGAAACATATATTTCCCCAATGAAGTACATTACATTAGTAATGTTTTTCATATGACAGTGTCGAGAACTCAAATATTGTCAGTCAATACAAACTTGTGTGAATAGTGTTAGTAATCTTTCGTGGGTTAAAATCACTACGAAACCAGTATTCCCTTTCCGTATCAGCCGTAGTCACATAGTGTTAAAATGAGAATGCACAATTTCGTCCCTCAACATGAGATATATAAGGTATTGTTAAATAGAACATCGAACTCATTGTGGCTTTGTTGGACGTTGGATTAATCCAATCCTTTATTCATCCATAGATGGTTATAAGTTCATCCCTGCCTTTATCAAGAATCGTTTTCGCTTACTTACCTATCAACGGGTAATTCACATGAATAAGGTATGAAAAATAACGTATGTCCCTTTGACCTCAGTATGGACCATTAGGGTCAGTGTCCTGACCAGCACTACCAGTGTTTTTGGTCACCACCCCTTTTAAAAGTATCGTAGCAGTCTTATCAATATGTGTCTTGGGGATAAACAGACGTTATATAACTGGTAAGTACCTCCAGAGGGATTTGGAGCCGCTATTCTGGCTTAACAGTAGGTGTAGTAATCCGGTCTATATACCCGATGAGGACACACGTATACTTAAATTCTGCGGTATTCTCCATGAAAACTGATGTTACGACCATATACCCCCTCCCCCACCAACTCCCCCTACCCCTTCCCCGACCCAGACAATTATAAACACAGATATGAATATAGAGAAGGTTATCCACTTTTTACATTATGGTGTGTATACTTGTAAAGCAACACAAACAGATTTTATAATTGAAACAAAAAAAAAGTTAAAATAGAAAACCGCATTGAGATCGTTTGTCAATTTGTTTGTAAGCATGGTTAGTTTCAGCTAGACATATATCATGATTAGTTTCAGCTAGACATAAATCATGATTAGTTTCAGCTAGACATAAATCATGATTAGTTTCAGCTAGACATAAATCATGATTAGTTTCACCAAGATATGTAGTATGGTTAACTTCAACTAGATATGTAGCATGGCTAACTTTAACTAGATATGTAGCATGGTTACAACATCAACAAGATATATAGTATGGTTAACTTCAACAAGATATGTAGTATGGTTAACTTCAACAAGATATATAGCATGGTTAACGTCAACAAGATATATAGTATGGTTAACTTCAACAAGATATGTAGCATGGTTAACTTCAACTAGATATATAGTATGGTTAACTTCAACAATATATGTAGTATGGTTAACTTTAACTAGATATATAGCATGGTTAGTTTCATCTAGATATGTAGCATGGTTGGTTTCAACTAGATATGTAGCATGGATAACTTCAACAAGATATGTAGTATGGTTAAGTTCAACAAGATATATAGCATGGATAACTTTAACTAGATATGTAGCATGGATAACTTCAACAAGATATGTAGAATGGTTATTTTCAACTAGATATGCAGCATGGTTAACTTTAAATAGGTATATAGCATGGTTAGTTTCAACAAGATATGTAGTATGGTTAACTTTATCTAGATATATAGCATGGTTATTTTCAACTAGATACGTAGCATGGTTAACTTTAAATAGATATATAGCATGGTTAGTTTCAACTAGATATGTAGCATGGTTAGTTTCAACTAGATATGTAGCATGGTTAACTTTAACTAGATATATAGCATGGTTAGTTTCAACTAGATATGTAGCATGGTTAACTTCAACAAGATATGTAGCATGGTTAGTTTCAACTAGATATGTAGAATGGTTAACTTCAACTAGATATATAGCATGGTTAGTTTCAACAAGATATGTAGCATGGTTAACTTTAAATAGAGATATAGCATGGTTAACTTCAACAAGATTTGTAGTATGGTTAACTTTAACTAGATATATAGCATGGTTAACGTCAACAAGATATGTAAGCAAGTAGACAAGTTAGGTTTAAATCAAATTTAGTGACAAGTATACATTATTTACATACGCGTTTATATACTCTGCCAGAGAGCAAATTTTCAGTCATTTTCTTTTGAACGGTTTGTTCTCCTTTCTCCCACTTTTTTCTGTAGCCCTCGCTATTTCTAAATATACTTAAATACGTCAATCATTTTCTTTTGAACAGTATTATAACAATATTCTGAAAGATACGTCAGCTTACCTTTGAATCGAGAAATGAAAATATATATCTAGTATTTCTTCGTTACGTGGGTGCTTTGGTTGGGTCACTTGTTTTTGTCGTTTAAACGATGATCGGGTACCGACTTGATTTATATACCAATCATATTATCTATAAATAGCACCGGGAAACCACCGCTATTTCGAAATATACTTAAATACGTCAATCAATCTATTACGCAGTAATTTCTCCCGTTTAAACCTAGACCCCGTAGTGGATCCAGATGAGTAGTTAAACACTGTAGCAAGTTTATACGTTTTACCTGCATTACAGGTAGTTTAAGCTTCATGTAGAGCGAGAGTAATATTGCGGTAGTTTTTGGAAGTTACCTGTAGTCAAGTCTGTTAAATCAAATCAACTTCGCATCAACAGTTTGATGACTGAATGACATCAATTAGGATTATTTTATATAAAAAAAAAGAAAAAAAAATAAAATATGTTAACTTAACGTGGACAGTTTTAACATTTTAATTGCGATAACTTGATTTTTATAATTCATTACAATTGATTAAAATTTCACTTATTGTAAAACAAAATGTCGCTTATTTCATAATCATAAGTATAAAAAATATATTCATATAACATAGTTATTATCATGTACGTGCATGTATTTACGTCAATGTATGAGTCAGTTGTTGTATTTAAAGGTCTGTTTCTTCACGGGTCATCCAACTTCAATTATTAATTTCCATATATAGCTCTTTTATTTACAATCGACTTGAGTAAAGATAAAAATAAAGAAAAACTCGGTTAGTATTTCCTAATAACCACGGACTGTGACGCAGGTTGATGAACATCAGCCCAACACCCTAACATATACTTTAAAATAATGCTTAGGCGTATTTTTTATTTGCTTCAAAGATGGAGTGTATATTTTAAAATTTATGGTAAATGAAACAGTATATGGAATACGAGTTCTTAAGCGTAAATGTCGCAGGAAAGGGTAGATTTCAATACTCAGGATAAAAACAGTGGGGATATATGGTTTAGTACTTTGGGTTTACTTTTTATGTTTTTATGTTTTTGTATTAAGGGTTAATTAATTATATAAGGAATATGCTTTGATATTAAATGTTAATAAAATATATAAGGAGAATATTTTAGTTTTAAGTGTTTATTAAATATACCAAATGCACACTATACGACTAGAGTATTACTATTGTAAACGAAGTTTCCCTTTTCAAAGTAACTCGAGCAATTCGTACAAATGGCGGCCTGGAAATTTTCGTTAACAGGTTATGAATTGTTATTAATTTATTAACAATTTTTGTCTTGAGAGGATAAAACGACGTTGTCCCGGAAGTTAAAAAAAAAGATAATATAATCAAACATGGACACACTCAACACATAAAGTTTACTCTGGAGTAACAAATAATACGTGTGAAGTACGGCCGGCTATGAAGTAGTGTAGATGCAAACAAGTTCCTTCTTAGAAGATTGACCTTTAACCTTTCGGAAAATTGATGTCGTCGTGTTTGTCGTCGAGTTTGATAGGTTATCATAATGTAGATACATGGTTATCATATATCGAGGGAGGGTATCTTTTTATGTATCACGTATTTGGATTATTTTTGACAAACTTTTATTATTTGATATACGTAATGGGAAAAATTGCGTTGTACGACATTTTATCAAAATTGAAAATTAAATGAATCTTAACATTCCTTAAAAAGAATAAACAAACAAAACAAAAAAAAATTAGCTTTTTATGATACATTTTATTTAAATAGACAATTTAATAAATTTGTACTTGTTTTCGAAGCCTTGTATTATGTATATTATTTATATTTCTGCAATATATTGACAATAAAAAAAGAGTTGAAACTACATGTACATACATCGTAACATACATTAAAAAATTGGTAAAAGTAATAGCACTAGATATATTCATGAGGGAGCTGAGTATGTGGCATTTTTAAAATCGATTAAACAGGATATTTGCAAGCCATTTTGATTTAATGTGTGGTTTATAATAAAACTACCTCTAAGTTTTGGAAATGAACACTTCTAATGAAATTAGACTCCAGACATAATCCTCAATGACGACGGAGGCTGAGTGTTTAAGGCAATGTCGTCCATACGGAATATCAACATAAGGACCCACCTCTTTGCGTCTCCATTTTACGCTTTTTGCACGGGTGTCATGAACACGCCACTCTTTACATATTCAATTAAATGCATATTGAGATAATTGTCCTGTAACTTTATGTATAATGCTGATTTGTATGTCTTTTTTATCTACTATATCTATAAATCTCACTGTAGAAATATTATTATTCATGTGTTGTAAAGCGCCTTAGACTAATTTGACAAAATATATAAGCGCTTTATAAATGTTGTATATTACTACTACTTCTCATTATCAGTTAAGAGCGTACCAGATACTTACACCAATAGGTATTCATAGTGAGTTTTCGATTTTTTATTCTGTCTAAAGTTTTCTAAAGAGAACTGTATCTCCAGGTCCGCTAAACATGTTTCTTTAGAAAATAATTATAACGCGGTACGTGATAATGAACAGCTGTATTTATTCAGATTGTTAGCATGACTAAGCCAAAACCGGAAGTAGTTATCATATATATGTGATTCGTTGGTAGGGTAGAATGCTCTCACATTACAAGCTAAGTCAAGACGAAGTTTATCTTCCGTTTAAAAGCACATGTGCAAGTTAGTATGAAGTATTATTGAGTTACTTCCCTTAGGGTCGTGTTTTGATTCTTAAACAGAAGTCGACAAACGTGGAAGGTATGTTAATATTACAATAAGTTTAACAGATGATAAGATGAGGAATCATCACATTGATCCCTGCTGGTTAAACAATATTCACGGTATTCGCGGTAAATTTTGATACGGTTTTTTTATAAGAGAAACTTATTGAGGATTCTAGAAGTAAATTGATATTTCCCTACCTTAAGAGTAGGACAGAAAAAAATCCCCACGAGGATGATATACCTGACTGTCTAACCGGAGGCTGCCTCTACGGCGAGCCAACTTAACATTCAACGAGCAATGTCAATCCCGAATTTCATAAAACTATATCATATATCTTATAAAGTATATAAGATATATTATATGATATACGAGATATCTTATGCAATATATATATATCTTATATATTTCTCATATACAAATTAAATATCTTATATAGATATCTTATAAACAAATTGTGAGTTTTTTATAAGACATCTCATATGCTGATAAGATAAGATATCTCGATTTATTTTCTGTGCAAGATATATCATACAATGTATAATCTGTAAGATAAATGATATCATGTGAAATCTCGTCACTATATAACATATCTTATATAGTATATGAGATACCTTATATATTATAAAAGATATCTTATATTCTTAATTAAGATATCTCATTTAGTTCTATATGAGATATATCATATGGTATATAAGATATCTTGTATATTATACAAGATACCGATAATACCATATAAGATATCTGATTAAATAAGATAGATAAAATTAGATAAAATATCGACATTGCTCCTTGAATAAATGCTAAGCTGGCTTGCCGTATGCTTAAAAATAAGTCAAACGAGACTACATCAGCCGTGGGTTACACCGTCAGGGTTCTCCTCCCTGAAAATGAAACTTTCTTTTTTTCCCAATATTTCTATAATCCAAATGAATAAAAACAATTACCCACAGGTGAGCAATACAAATCGAGGACGATTTTATTTGTCATGATATAGACAATGGCAGTATTATTACAACTAGTCATTTGTAAAAAGCATTTACCTTGTAAGTGACAGAGATACAACATAAATATATGTGATAAATTTACTTGGCCTATTAATTCAGTGCAATACACAAATGTGTTACAACTTTCGGTTGAGCACACGCTGACGCTTCAGGCTGGTTTTCAACCCGGGTTAAGCCAGAACAAAAATTTCCTGTCCGATAGTGTGGATATCTCTGCCCAAGGAGTGAGAAGTCATAATCAATATATCACAATCTATCACTATCAAACCTCTAGATAACTCCACATTTATACTGCAGTAAGTTCCTTTAAAACAAAAACAAATCCAGAAATCACGTCGATATTCAGTTATGCCTGTCCTGAATAAACCGCTACTTGAGCAGAACCAAAAACGCGTTCCATCCCACCTGTTGCTTTATCAGACTGATTGTACCGTGGTTTATGTTTACGATTGTCTGTGAGGAGCGACAAGTGTTTGCACAATGCGTTACATTTATGGTTCTTGACAAAGTTTTCTATTCCCCGTGTTCCTTGATCTTCAGCACCAAATGTCTGGTCGACAGAGTGTACGCACGGAATGGACAGGCGGGTGTGTTGTCCGTTATGGACACCGGTAAGACCACAAACCACAAGTGTCTGGCCACTTGACACCAGTGTGTAATGACAAAATGCTGACAATAATCTTTCAAAGTCACAGTAGGTTCTTCCCTGTTCTTTTCCGTCTGTCTCCTTCGTTCTGTGTCCTTTTTCGTCAACAAAAGAAACGTATTCTCCTAACAAGCGTCTCTCAATGAAAACCCATTCGTCTTTCTTCAGTATTTTGTGGTGTCCTCTGATGACCTTGAAGAACCTATTCAGACACCGAGCCGTTGAGGCCAACCTTGTAACAACCGGCTGCCCGAACGACACGGGCGAATGTGTCATTCGACACATGCACAGGAATTCTTTGATGTAATATTGTTTGAAGAATCCCTCCAAATACGTTTCTGCATATTTGGTTGCAAGAAGCATATCTTTCACGTCATTGTTACTGAAAGATTCCCCAGTAGAAGTTCTGACAAGGACTCTAGTTTGATCGATACGATTAGTAGAAAAGTGCATTCCTTTGTAGCACGTGTGTTTCTGGTCCTGGTGGAAAGGATAGAACTCAAAACTTGTGTGGCCTTGTAGATTCTCTGTGTGGTAAGGATACGTAGAGTTGTCCATTACTGCAGCGATGAACTCTGTTTGAAAGGAGAAGTCATTGTTTAGAAACAAAAATAAGACTTGTGTGGCATTTCTAGTTTGTTGTGATGTACATCGCCCCAGCACACATATAACAAACAAGGCTACAATACTGTAAAAGTCCTTACTTTAGCGGACTCATATGTTAGTGTATACTTTGATTTCTAAAAATTAGCGCATTGAAGATTTTTTGCAATAGACAAACAAATACAAGAACTTCAATAAGCGCAGTCATAATTATACGCAAGATTAAAATTGAGACAAGCGCTGAAATAAAACACCGATAAATATGTGCGTTTACAGATTATTATTTGTATATATTATACTCAAGTCAAAAAACGTATGTGACTTGTGAAATCTGGAGATAAAACAGCAAGAGAACACCGAGGTGTCAACACAACTGTAATTACGGCCCCGTATCGGAGATACGGGTGCCCTATAGTAATCAATCTGTATGTCTGTGTGTCTGTATGTCTGTGTGTCCGTTCGTCCATCTGTCTGTCTGTCTGTCTGTCTGTTCCTTTTTTGTTCCTTGCTGATAACTTTGGTATTTATTGACCGATGAACATGAAACTTAGTCAATATGCTCAGTTAACAAAAATACACATTGAGGTAAAAAGTCAAGGTCAAAGGTCAAAGTTATTAGGTTCAAAGGTCCAGGTCAAATTTTGCATCTTTTCACTGATGAAAATTTTGTTGATCAGAACAAGGAGTCAACTGCCTAAGGTCAAGGTCATTGGGTCAGGGGTCAAGGTTAAAGGAGATGGAAGGAAGCAAGAATCACATCATAATACTTTTTTAAGTCCAAATGTAAAACGTCAAGCTCAGCTACATGGGCAGATTGATTCTTGATGATTTTTGGAGATATATTGCCACATGACGGGGCCCTTACTGACCTGTCAGTGTTCTAGTTCAGTCACAAAAACGATAAAAGATTGACGTAAAGGCTCTTGAAAAGTATAAAAGGAGAATAAGACCAGACCAAGACCGGGAAGGATAAGCGTCTTCTGTTTCATCGATGACACAAGTACGCAATCCTTGGTCAAATCAAAGTAATGGCTGACCTTCAAACGAGAACAGCGGTGTTAACAACGAAATATCGAAGCATATTAAGGAGCGTGATCCAAATATCTTCTTTAACAAAATTGTACAATGATATCGTGATAGTGACCATAAATCTTAACCACAATCTTCATCAACCTGCATAAATCAAAACCATTAGTTGTCAGTCTCTCCGTGTAAAGTCGACAAATATTAAGGAAATCATTATATTAGGATCAAGCTCTCGAAAAATGAGTCAACTGCGACACATAAACACCTTATGTTGGGGAAGCACGGATGTTACGATCAAGAATGGAAAGATCGTCACGCTTTAATTATTATTTAGCCGTTTCTGTTGGTTGTATTCTAGGTTTATACCATGTAAAGAGACTGAAGTAGAAGGGCCTCCTGTGCCCTCAATTTCAAACAGATGGTTATACGATCGACGTGGTCATAGGATGTCTTGTTTTTACACACCAAAAAACGGAAATTACGAAACGTAGAATCATTTTTTAATTTACCTTTAAACTAAACTATATCAATGATATATTTAATATATTGTTCCATTATTTGAAATCAAACAAAATATTTTTCAGTGTTTTGGCACACGGCTGGATAATTATCTTGCGTATCTGTTGATAATATTAATATAATTATCCGTTTCTTAGAATTATAACCATACGGAAGAGCAGTAGCGCCAATGAGAATAAACAATAATTTCGTTTTTTCGTGTTTATAACTCGAAATTTCAAGATAGTAACTCGAGATTTCGACTTAATAACTCAAAATTTCAAGATAAGGGTTTTCATATAGTGTGGCGACCTGGCGTTTAGGAAGGTTCATTGTCCAGGGGCGGAGCAACGGTCGGGCTAAGGAGGGAGGGGAGCGATACCTCCCGAAGCTGTAGGAATACAAATGAATGAATATTTCATTTTTTATTTATTTTTTATTATGAGCATGCATGGTCAATACAGATATACTGATTTCGTCTAAAGCGCAACTCCCCCCTAGACGTGTCAAATGACACTTGATAGAAATCTAGAAGCGCTTTCGTGTAATCTTGGGTATTTTAAAATGTATCAAAGCTTAAAATTTAACACAGTTTGATGTACTTAGGATTTTATTTAAACCAGATTCTGCCCAATCCGGACGTTTGTGTAAACCGGCCAAATTATTTGGTCTTTAATTACTTTACATCATTGATTAAACTCCGGACTAAGTAAACCGTCTTTGTTTCCCAGTCTAATACTCTCTTTCTGTTAATCTATATCAAGTTCTGATCATTTTCAACTTTCACTAATATTCAATTATAGCCTTTGGCTGAGGTCGATACCTGGATTTATTAACCCGAGAAAAGATATATTAACAGAGGAGGCAGTTTCTCGGATTGATAAATCCAGGTATCGACCGAAGTTAAAGGCTACAATTGTTTTATTAATTTCAAAACAGTAATGTAAGCAATCTGAAAAAGAAAAAAAACAGACTCGAAAGCGGGACGGTGCATTGTTTGGAGACACGTCATAATTCTTTTTTTTAGAAATACCCAGTCCTTCAACAAAATCACGCGATCCATGTCAATATCGGTTTTTATCGGTGGACACGTGATGCACTCCTGGCCACAATCACGTGTCAGTAATAATATGAAAAAATAATAACATCATATGTTATTGACTTGGAGCGCGTGATTTTTGTTGAAGGACTGGGTGTTTCTAAAAATATAATTAGGACGTGTCTCCAAACAATGCACCGTCTCACTTCCGAAGCTTTTCTGTTGTGGGTTTTTTTTCAGATTGCTTACATTACTGTTTTGTAAAATAATAAAACAAATGTAGCCTTTAACTTCGGTCAATACCTGGATTTATCGACCCGAGAAAAGGTATCGACCTCAGCTAAATGCTATAATTGAATAATATCCGGTAGAGTTGAAAATGACTGGTCAACTCTTAACTTTCCTGTCTGGTAATAAGGATTGAACTAGAATACAACGTGTTTTGATGCCGGTTCACAGAGAGTATATTTATTAATGTTAAGAAGGTATTAGACCAGGAAACAAGGCAGAATGAGTTCGAAGTTTTATCAATAAAGTTATAGAATTAAAGACCAAATACATTTGCCGGTTTACAAACAGATCCAGATGGAACAGATTCTGGTCTTAACAGTTATTATTATCTCGAAATTTCGAGTTACAAAGTCCAAATTTCAAGTTAATATCTTGAAATTTCGAATAAGCAAGTCGAAAGTTGTAGAATTAAAGACCAAATACGTTTATTATCTTTAAATTTCCAGTTACTATCTTGAAATTTCGAGTTATTTAATCGAAATTTCGATATTTTATCTTGAAATTTCGACACGAAATATTAACACGAAAAAACGAAAAAAAATAATTCTACATGACCCTAATGCTCTTCCGAATAACCATGACGGGTGATGTGGCAAAAGAATTTTGCCTCACGGAAATTACGTTAAAGTTTTACTTTTAGGCTGGTTTGATTATTGACATCTTAATAACAGAGCATCGTTTAATAATAAAATTATTAGAAACACTTGATTTTTTTTGTAACATGGTGAAAGTATATCAAAAGTTTTATCAAAATTGGATGTGAAACAACAAAACAACTCTTTCACTTTAAAACAGATTTCAATGGTAAAGTGACGTTACGTGAAAAACTTTTAAAATTTAAAAAACAAACTTACCTTACTTAAATAGCTGTATTCTTCCCGTGCGACAAACATATAACGTATGACGACACATTAGCCACTGTGAACGTTCAAGCCATTGCACGAAAACCTATCTTTAATTTAAAAATCTTTGGAGAGCCTTATTTTTAAAGACGTGAAATATTGACGAAACATTTAAAATAAACGAGCCTATATGATATGTCAACAAAACATGTGCTGGGAATTTCCATCTACTATCACAAAATATATTTTTTATACTCCAGTTATTTTCTTTATCAGCACAGTGATAAACACTCAGAAATAACCAAGTATTAAAGCATAAAAATAGATGTTACAGAGGATGTATAAATAAGGTCACTATATATAGTACCCTGCATTACCCGGAATACCAGCTCGTGTGATTAATTCACAATTCAGAAGAATATTTCACAACACGTGATGTTTTTATACAATTTATCTAAATGGGTTTTAACTTTACACATCGAAAGTATTCTACCTATCTATCTGTAGCACCAAACATTGTAGGTCCCGGCTGGTTCCGGGATACATCCACGCTCTTCAAATTGAAATTAAACGCTTTGATTTTTTTTTAAATATTCACATTACACCAGGATCGTTTCAAACAAATATACCATTTTTTCAAGTAAGTGACTAGAAAAGAATTGCAATTTGCAAATTCAACAAATAGTTTAATTTTTTTAACCAAAGATGATCAACTTTTAAACAAATTAATTTAAAATTTTGTAAAGGCTGTACGAGTACCGAAATATGCAATGGGATGAAGGGCAGAGTTAGGACACAGTGTGTGAGTGGGGGTTCCGATTCCTGTCTAACAAAGAAAAGGGGGTGCATACTCGAAATTTGAAATATATTTTGTGGGCGTGGAAGGGGTATACTTTTTGAAATGATATTTAAGTCATTTCAATAATGCTTTTAGAAGTAAGTATTTGTTTTTGTTTATGGATTTTAAAACCAAATTTCTATCGCTCAAAACAGTTTATTTTTCATGCAAGTGTGGATTAAGCTTGAAAAGGATTACGTCATCAATATTAAGCTTTTTGGTATAATGAAAGTTTCGTGTTTTGACAATACCTTTCAAATATATTTTTTATCATTATTTGTCTTCTGCTGGATACTTTGTCATGATAGTATTTGGCTCTACAAATCAATATTAGAGTCAGTTATAGATTCTTTCTAACCATAATATCAACAATATCATAAAAGGGAGGATACGATATTGATCGCCGAGCAAAAGTTGATATTTGTTGTGTAAACATTAGGGTACTAAACCTGATACAGCGAGCAGTAAATACTTTGCTGGTTGTAAAAAGTAAAAGGAATACAGGAAGTTAAGGAGTGAATGTCATGTTTAATTGGGTTTTTTATGGGCCTTAGAAGTTGTTATTTTGGGGAGAGGAGGGGCTTTAGCACACCTGTGGTTCTCACGGGCACTTGGAATCGTATACTCATTATCGAATAGGTTTACAAATACAGACGAGAAACATTACAAACTTTTATTACTGTTAATTGTAAAAGTGCAGGATTTGATTAGAAAATTTGCTTGTACTATCTTGCTGACGTTTCTAGTAAGCCATTCATGGCTTGATGCATTTGATATAATGCTGTAACATTGTTCGGGACGTTTAAACTCGTGTATTATGTGATTGGCAGGTTGACAAAAATATCGGATTTTTATATATATAGCGTCCATGTCATGTTCTTGACTAATTCCTCGGGTTTTACCTGCAGATTAGATGTTAGAACTAAATTGTTAAAGATATACGTAATTCTTCTTTCAGTTTATCGCGTTTAACCCATCATGGGGCTAACGCACGTGCGAGATAACACTTTAATTGTATCTCTAATTACATAAAAACTGCTTCAGCGACCTTCTGTGTTCAGTCTCTAGATTAGTCCAACAATGTGACACCTTCTTACAATCTGTCATGGAAATATTAGAACTTTAGTTAGATTTAGTAATAAATATACTGATTAGGAGATAAAAACACCAAGTTGTAATTGACTAAACCATCAGGCAATCTAAACAAACTAAAACGACAGCAAATTCAACGAAACAGGCAATGGGCCGCTAGAGTGATAATTACCAAGAAGGTTGTGTATTGTCAGAAATATTGCCGAAAAGGTTTCCGGTAGGGGCTATTTTGGTAGCAGTCAAGTACAACTAAAACTTACAAAGTGCATCATATAATTGATTTGGTAGTTAAAATACAATGTAATTACATAGATGCAACTTCTTATAGCACTGAGATTTTTCATAAGGGTCAATGTTTTCAGGAAGATTATAAAAGATCACTCAACTAACAAATTCATTTATTTTACAGCACGTGATCAAAGTACATGTAACATCCTGTTTTTGTGTAGATTTTGTATTTATATTTCAAAACATTCCAATGTTATTTACAGATATTCTGTTATATATTTTATTTACCAATATAAATCTTAAGTCTTCACAATGGCATGCTATTCAGTTACCTAAAGCTACATTCACAGTACCAAGTGATATTGGAATACATTTTCATAGACAGAGGCAGCACATTTGATGTTTATAATATAAACATAAATGTAAAAATAAAATGTCTGAATTACCTATATTGTTTGTTGCACTTTCGATTGTTAATTTATATGATAAGTTAACCGAGCTAAGATTAACTAAGGGTGCCATCAAGTTTGTTAAATGTTGTTCTATTGTTTGTAAATTTCATTTGAAATCCCACACTTCAATATTTTATGATAATGACTTGTATGATCAGACTTAGTTTGATGGTGCCCTTAAAGCTTAAAGATGATGTAAATTGACGACGTAATGGGTTTAGCCTTTCAGGACTTTCAGTACTTTGATATGTATTTGTGTCTTTCTTGACGCTGTTGAGTTTTTTGGGCTTTATTCGCTTTTATAAAAACAATGTGTGTTGACGCTATAATATCTTTTGTTTTCGTTCCAGTTTCACGTTCTAGTTATTCACGTTTTGTTTTCGTTCCAGTTTCACGTTCTAGTTATTCACATTTTGTTTTTGTTCCAGTTTCATGTTCTAGTTATTCACATTTTGTTTTCGTTCCAGTTTCACGTTCTAGTTATTCACATTTTGTTTTTGTTCCAGTTTCATGTTCTAGTTATTCACATTTTGTTTTTGTTCCAGTTTCACGTTCTAGTTATTCACATTTTGGTTTTTGTTCCAGTTTCATGTTTTAGTTATTCACATTTTGTTTTTGTTCCAGTTTCACGTTCTAGTTATTCACATTTTGTTTTTGTTCCAGTTTCACGTTCTAGTTATTCACATTTTGTATTTTCTCTGATGTCTAAACTGTCTTAAGTGTAAAAAAAAGTTTATGAATAGTGGATCACATCCTAGAAATCTTATCGAGTATCAATTATTATGCATATACAAAGCTACATCGATGTAAATTGAAATGTTTGTACCTGACCATGACAATAAGTCGTGTGTCTGCATCAAAATCTTTCACAAAGACAGTAAACCTAGTTCAAGATTTAATCAAATGTTTGCCAACGGTTTACTCACGCCCTATTGAGCTATAAACATGATGTTCCTTGGCAACAGATAGACAAGTGTTTCCAAGAAAAGTTATATTTAAAGACAGTTAGGAAAGAGTTTTTGTATTGCATGATTTACATTTCAATGCTGTATTGTTATGTAATAGGATTTCTAAGAATTTAAAAAACAAATACATAGGTGACTGCATATTTGAGTCGGGAAGTGTTGTTATCAAATTTCTTTGTAAGGAACACTGATGTCACATTGACATATTTTAATCTCGATCTTTTATTTATTATTTAATCGTATTCCAATTAATTTTTACATTGGCGATTCCTTTTGACTGTGCTAGTGGACTATCCACTCCAGGTGTTGCCCATTACCCTGTAGCTGCAATTTATTACTGCACAGTTAAGAGGAAATATTAGTTTAAGAATGCATTATCTGTTGTTGGCTCAAGTTGTATTTTTAACGTTACAAAGGGTTTGCATGTACCTGTCCCCTTTCGCTGTGTTTATATATGTATCGAAACACTTCACACTTGGATATTCAATCTTTTGACCTTTAGTACGACTGATGAGTCGTAAATGAACGAAATGGACACGTGGTAGATCGTTTACTATGATTTGATATCTCTATTTTATAAATTCATTTTTTAAGTAGATGCTTGTTTACTTCGTTTTTCTAGCGGTACATTTATTAATACAAGCACCGTCTCTAAAGTTTTTTTGTTCTTTTTAATTTAAAATTTTATTTTGTATTCGTGGATGTGTAAAGGTTTAAAAACTGTTTATCTGAATCACTTATATACGTATATAGTGGATTGCGATTGGCCTATCATTATTGATAATGATGCTATTATCTATGATAATATAATATTGTAAAGTATCATTGATTGATTATTGTGTTGATGGCTTAGTAACATTAACTTGGCAAACAATAGTGCAATAGCGCTTTAGAGTAATTTTACAAATTATATAGGGCGCTACATAAATGTTGTATATTATTATTATTATTATTATTAATATTTTATCATTTAGTACAGTTAAACTTTTCGAAAACTCGAGAACAATAACCCCATCGACATGGTAATCTTGCCTCTTCTGTATAGGAACTTCTGTCATAAAAAGCGCAGTACCTCGTTTCCTCTACATATATAAGACTTACTTATAACAATGTAGTTTCTCTACATGCTATTTACTTTCAATTTTGACTTATAGTCTAGCCATATCTACGTGTGAAAATAAAACCTTTTCCTGTCCTCTTTTTATAATCCCAGCTGATAAAAAAAGGGATTTGTTTTATTTGAAATAGGCCATATTTACCCTTTAATGGAACAAAATATGAAAACAATCCCATTGACTGAAGTTAGATAACATTGGAAGCCACTTAGGAAAGAAAAGTCTATAACATTAATTCAACACATATGGCTCGTTTAAGTATCGGGTTCATATAGTCTGTGATTTCAGACACTGAAAACTTACAGAAATTGGCAGTTTTTCGCAATACATTTCATTTTGTAATAAGAGTATTACGTAATCATGTATATATTGACATATACAGCAGTGCCTAATTCATGCAAGTACAGTCATAGTTCTCGAATTCAGATAAATTCACAATATCGATGCACGATAAATCATCGGAAGGGGTGGGGCTGGGGGATAGGGGTGAGGTAGATTATGAAAAGATCTGATGAAGGTGACAGAGTACATACCGTACTAGTAATCGAAACGTCACAAAGAAACACTTATTGGTTGTGTAACAAGAAGCTTTTCATATTCCATACTTACCAACCCGAAGAAAATGTTAAGAAATAAGGGTGAGGTCATTTTCGATAATTACGCTCAGTACGCTCTCTGCACCCCTGGAATATGTCAAAGCAAAATTGAAGGCTAAGTGTGTGCCACCTTGTTGATGAGACAATAAGACAAGTTTGATTCTTTGATGTACATTAAAAAAATATCGCAGTCGCATAACGGTAAAAATTGACTGGCTTTGAAGTCGGATGTCACCCCTTTGTAATCTTCAAAGGACAGCCTGGCGATTGGTCAGGTGTTTTTACCCGAGACCAGGCTTCGATTTTTCTATGAAATATCCCAGGTGTGCAGAGAGCGTAGGTGAGCGTAATCCCGGGAGGATCGCGGGTGGGTTGAGGTAGGGCTGGCGGTTCGGGGTATATTTCCTTGTTCTTCGGTATCTCCATATCATCGTAAATTTAAAAAACAACATCGTCATAGTCTGATATCAGTGAAATCTTATGTTTCAAAATATATCGTTTAATATATATTGTCTCCTTTCCATAACTCACACTTCGACCGTATCAGATTGACCGTGCTGTATATATGTATTACAAGTAGATAAAGGATGATAAATGTGATATGGGTTTTTTTAATTTTTTATTTTACCCTTTAATTAACTTTGTCATCAGCTAGGTAACCTATCAGTGATTGGATATTTTCATTTTAGAAAGTCAAAACAAACAAACGCAAGATAACCAAAGACAATTTTATTTAAACATTAAATCGATATGATTGGATTTCGAATAAATTATAAATATTATGTATGATATTTTGGCTGACTAATAAGAGCAGGTTTCGATTGATCGTTAAGCTGGACAAAAAAAATATAAAAGAATTTGTTAAAAAATAAAGTTATTCTTTTATATATTTTGACAAAAGTTCTGTTTATGGGTGCAAATAAAACTAGCAAGGATAAATATATATATTTATAATTTCAAACAATGTAAATAAATGTGTTATGTACAATGTATCACATTAAAATAGGAAAGCATGTTCTAAGATAAGAATAATAGGTATATGTAATTAAAAAGAATAATGATTGTGTAAATACAAATTGATATCACATTAAATAGATCGAAATATATCAAATTGGACTTAAGAGAAAGGGTTCACTCTACTAAATCTAAGATTTAACGTAACCCTAAGCCGTACACGGCACGCATGACTTCCTTAGGTCAGAGATATCTTACATAGGTAACATAATCACAGCCGAGTGAGCGTCAAAGTAAGGATACATATCCAAACTTTACCAATTAATACATAATATATAGCAAAGCATAGCTCTACTCCCTCCTATCTGAAATAATATTTGATCAGATATATTTTTACCATTTTGTAAATATAAAAGAAAACAAACATTATTTAACGTTTATAAGAATCTGATGAAAACTTGGTCCTTGTAATCGATTCATAAACTAACACTATGAGGGAAATTTTATGAACTGACTTAGATATGAAACGAATTGTCTGATTAATAATTTCTACAATATAAGGATGTGACATATACACACAAAAAATAAGAAATTAAATTATTCATCCTCAGTTTCGAAGATCTGCTTATGATGAATAGTACAGCAATGCATAACCTTCAAGGAGGCGAAATATATTGTTGTTCAGATAACTGCTATTTCTCCAGAAACTGTATATAAACGTATTTCTACATAATGAACATAGTACCGAAATGAAAACGCTCATGAAATCCGGAATCGCAATAAATAATACTATGTTTAAGGTTCGGTATATTTTTCCAATATTTCATAAACAGCCTGGACTAAAATATATGATTATAAATATTCATTTATTTTTTTTATAATTTGATAAATTATCAAAGGCAGTGTATTTGGTATCCATGTCCTACACCGAATTTCTGGTAGAGGCAATTAGTTTCATAGGACTATCAGCAGACCCATCACTGACAAAATAAACGAGGACATCAAACTGCCAGCATCAGAGAGACATGTTCCTATGATTAGCAACTACACTGTCTTATCACCGCCGAAGGAGACATATTTTAGGGCAAGCAATGTCGCTACCATACCATCATCCGAGGAATTAGCTTTATTGGCCAATCATTGTTGTTATTTGAACATATTGTAATTAACAATCACTAAGGTGAAAGGTCAATATGTCCGAACATCCGGTGAGGAGAAATGATTTGATGATCCAGCATTATTTGATTTTCCATGACAAGCCTTGTTTTGGAAATCGTACGGAGGCGGCGGCTGGGAGTCAACGCCTTCATACGCGGGAGGGTGTATCTCAGCCGTCACTAACATACTGCGCTCAGTGTAAGAAAATTCCGGGCTATCACATCCTGATCGCCCGCTCGAGTACTGAACCGGAAACGTGTCCTCGAATGAATACGGCTTTTCATACGAAATACTTGACGACGCAGATAGGTCCGTAGGTGAAAACTTGGGCAACTCGCTGCAGTATGCATTACACTGATGGTGCGAGAAAAATGTGGAGATGCCTCCTTCACCGGCGTCTGTGTTGCCGTATTGTCGCGCACGCGAGTGAACACAGGGAGTGGACAAGGTGTACGAGTGGCCATTTCTTACTCCTTGTAGTCCAGACATAACCAGCTCCTCGTTACTAGCAGAGTAGGTGTAATGGCAGAACGCCTGAAGGATAGGCTCACAGTTTGATGTGATTACACCATTTTTGTATATGAAGGAGACAAAATCACCTTCCAGTTTCTCTTCCAGCAACACACATTCTCCCTCTGATAGAACTTTGTCGTAACCTTTCAGGAAACGAAAAATACCGTTAAACACTGATACGGTGTCCATAACAGCCGCTAGAGGGCGCAGAAATTTGATAGAAAACTGTGGGAATCTTTTCGAGAACCCTTCGGCAAATTCTTGCGCCTTGACCGCTCCACTAACTTCCGCTTTGCCATCATCCTCTGTTCCTTGTCCGTAATTTGTACATTTAATTATAGCAGGTGTTTGACTCCAGTAATTGTTTGGCACATACATCATGCCCTCGAAGGCTGTTTTTCGACTACCGACAGCAATTGGGTAGAATTCGAAGCTAGAGAACCATTCGTGGCCATCTTTACATTTGGTCAGAGATGGAAGAGTACAGTTGTCCGTGTGTTTCAATTTTGATAGAATCCCCATCCTGAAAATGAAGCAATTGTTTCGTTATAAATATTAATGTTTGATCATACCAGTATAAAATCAGATTTCTATTCCATTACTCAGATATAATAACAATGATATATGTGTCCTAACACATGAGATTGAATTGATGCTGAGTGTAACCATTAATTACCGTTTCCCGTACATTTTTTTTTTTTTTTTTACAAATAATATATATATATATATATTTATTTATTTATTTTTTTTAACAATAAATTTTATTAATATGTGCAATAAGGCTTTCGTTGAGCTTTGGTTGGTTTTCATTTATGTAAAGTAAAGTACCATGTATATACTTTGATAATAAATTCCTTTACGGAATTATTCTTTTTTGTAGGATAACCCATGATTGCGACCGCTTCTTCTTAGCAATATTTCACTATCTAAACATATATTTTTTTCTTTATTTTTATTTTCTTGTTTAGTTTTCAGCATCACTAACTTAATAAAGATTGCGTAATATAATTGCAACCTATGAGATCGGGAATTATACCAATAACACGTAATACCTTTTCCTTGTTTCTAAAGTAAACAAATGTTTTGTACTTGATGTTTGATTTGGTTATTGATGACCAAGAAAAGGAAAATTTATATGGAAGATGATAACACCTACGTCAATTTAAGTTAATAGCTGTTACATAATATTAACAAAATATACCAACCTTCCGGTCAACACATGTACACAGATAGTACCAGTGTGTCAGGCCTGTATTGTCGATGTTTTATCACCTTTAAGGATAACGAAAAAAATGTATTAAAGCACATTTAATTGATTGATATTGAGCAGAAATTCGCCTTGGTAATTATATTTTTACATCGGATGTTCAACAAAGCTTATCCAAATATTGTTGACAATATGTGATTTTTTCATATTTCATTCATATTAAGGAAACGTTTTGACGTATCCTTTAATCTGTATCTTATAATGTCTTCATAATTAATTACCATTTACATGTACATAGCATACATGTTCGCAGAAAGACAATATCGTTGCTACAATTAATGATTTCGGGATATTTTAAGTAACGCCATGCAACAATCACTATTATGGTAATACAACATGTTTTTGAAAATAAATCTTCATAATGTTTACTTGGAGTAATCCAAATTAAAACTGAAATACTTCATAAAGAAAAACAAATATCTAAGATGTTATTAAGAATAACTTATGTTCATGCATAGACAGACTTACCTACTTAACTGTATATAGCGGCGTTTAAAATCATCATATGATCAAGTCGTAAAAGGAAAAAAACTTTTTTTTTATCTATACTGATATAAAATGTTTTCTTTTTTCTTTTTTACCTGAAATATCTGGATATGTTGCCGGCCTCCTCACGAATGTTCAACTGAGCCCCTGAAGTAAAGATAAGATATATATATATATATATAAACATTAAGCACATGGGCGTTTCACCAGAAATTAGGAACGATTCTAACACGAATATTTTATGTGACTCTGAAGGTCAATGCCTTTGTGACATTACGTAAGGCACAAACCATACACACATTGGGGGTTTTCTGGACGTATGATGGCTATTGATAAAAACACGTAATAAATAAGGTATGTTCCAAAATAGCATAGGTTGTTCAGGTAGCAGGTGATGTTACTACCTATATATGTAAACAACACAACACAAACTCATAAACGTCTATTTTATAATGGTTTGTCATACAGACGCCCAACGTCACAATAACTATGTTCCTGAAAATAATACTCCATATTTTGTTTACATAAGTAGCACACGGTTACTGGTAGTTTCCGTTCTAAATATATGTAACCGGCACAACTCTGGTTTCTCCTCGTAGCAGTATTTTAAGCTTGCCCAAACGTGATAATACATGTCTGTGATATGTTGATAAAAAAGTGAAACGGCTGAATAAATAGTGATGATGTCCCGAGTGATGAGATATATTTGAGGTAACACGTACATAAACGTTTCAAAATAAAATTCTTTATGCACTCTGTCGAAATAAAGCAAATGCGTACACTTTCAATCAGCTGTCAACGTAATGTGATGATTGCATTAGGTTATGAATTATATGTGGTTAAAGCGGCACTTGTTATTTAAACAAATGTAAACTTCCTCACGCTAGTCTTTACGACATATAGAGCGTATTTAATGGGTCAGTACCATAAATATTCCCCGAGTGTGACAAATTATTGATATATTTCACAAGTGCAGAATATAACCAATATTCTCGCCGGGGTGACAGACAAATAACAGGCTATCAATATATTTCAAGAGTCCTAAAAAATCTTGATAAAGAAGCATTTTGACACACGAGTGAAATTTACGCGATTATAGCAAAATCTTTCAAAATGTGCATCAACGATGGTGCGGTAATCAAAAAACGTTTCTGTAAGGATATTTCTCGAAGAAAATTTCTACTCTGCTAAAAGAAACCGGTTCTGTAGTTAAATATGTGTTAACGAAACACGTTAAAATGGTTCAGTATCTAAGATTTTACTTATGCATGCTTTTTGTTTTCTAAGTGGAAAAGTAATGCATTCACTCATAATTTTATTTCAGCACAATCTAACAGGTATCCACAGTCTAGTTTTGAGGGTGTGTCAGTATTGATATATTTCATTTGGTGAAAGATTCAATCTTCTCAAACCATCTAAACCTTTCAGTTAAAGTCTTCCCTTGCTCCCTTTCTCCTAACATGTCTCGGTCTTTCTCCTCCTCTATCTCTCCATTATTGTTCTCTCTCGTTCTCACTCCTCATCTCCCCCTAGCGGCACTTACATTTTCAAATCAGCCATATTAATAGAAATCTTTAGAGTTTTAATCATTGTATGAATTACTTTTTTATTTAAGAAGCCTGAGCGTATAAACAAGGTCACGTGTATAAGGCATCCTGGGAGAAAATCATCTCAGTATGTGATGTTATTTCCCTTCTATAAGCGATATTAACAGAGACGTTTACCAAGTCTCTGGTAATGTGTGTGCTTAGTGAGTGCATGGATTCACCTGGCCGTTCGCGTGTGTGTATGTAAACATATGATGTATTAACCCACTCATAAAAGCACATGTGCTTTATCTTGTAACATGTGGAGTGGATTCCTCCGGCATAGCAGGCATGGCTGAGGAATAGACAGATGTACGCGTGAACGATCACAGGAGTTACAGGGAAGCGTTACTTAACATAAACATCAACATCTGGGCCATAAGTACATATATGTACATAAAACAAGAGTTTATCAATGTATTTTATTGTTCAATTAAATACAGTAGTATCAATCAGTCGGTATATAATAGAAACTGGAAAATGGTGACAAAAAATAACCCTGATGACGAGAATGGTATATCATCATATTACAGGAATATGTCAGTTATATTACCTATCACGACAATGATAATTTAGTATCATGACCATTTGTATATATGTTATAGTTTAAACTTGTTGTGTATTACAAATCGTCAACGAATGATATTAAGACTGGCGAACATTTTGTCAATTTAGATTGCAGTACTACATACATGAACATCTTTACTTAAATACAAATAAAGCATGTTTTCAACATTTATTATTTAATGAATGTTAAATCGTACCTTTGACGGGCGACGAAAAAAACACCATCTGTGTCAAAAATCTACATACAGCATCAGTTAAGTGGGATCAATGGCGAAAACCTTCACTACACAGCTGTCGAATAACCAAATTTCACAAAAAGGTATTTCTAAAACTATTAGTAAATGATAATAATGATTTATATGTGAAATGTGTGTCGTGGAAAATTACCGCCTGATTATAGAAAGCTGAGGCACAAACTCTGTATCCGGGATGAAAAAGGTTACTATGTCCGCGATGCATAATGTATTCAGCGAAACATGATTTTAACATATATTGTTCACTTCCTTACCTAGGCAAAAGTATAGTCAGTTTTATTGTTTTTTATTCTCAATTTAGAACATCAAGACACCTATAACCTATTTGTACGTTGTTCACTACGAATAAGATAACCAGACTTTGTATTTTAATACACTAGGAATATCGATACACTGCAAATACCCATTCTTAAAGACCTACAAAGCTGCTTCAATGACAAGCCTGTTTAAGCACCTGTCTACTCAGTGATATTACACAACAAGTAATTCCAAGAAAGGTGGGGTTTTATATATATCAAAAGGACATTCGTGGAATTTTGTCTTTAATGGAAAAGTGTATATCAATTCGGTTAAAACCAGGTTCGCCCTTGAACCTACACTGCAATGTTGTTTTAGAAACATCACGATCATTTGAGTAAGTGCTTTTATCAAGGTTGTTATTTTCAAATTAATATAACATAAATATTAGTTTACACTTGCCAGATCAGAACTTGCTCTGAGTTTATATACATGTACATGCAAAAAGCTGCAACATTGTATATGGGTAACGTCTTGCTTATATTTGTAATGTTTAATATGTATTACTCTTTATGTAGAATTACAATATGAATATTGATACCCCAGCAAGTATAGTGTACACCGAACATTTAAGTAGTCTGGATGTTGTCTGCTTTAGGATGTCACCTTAGAGATGCCAACATTTTCTGCATGAACTGTTTTCAATTATTGAAATATCCAAAAGTAAATGTTTGAAGCAATCAAAGTGATATCGTGATCAGTTAACTCGGTTTTGTAAATAAGCTTTACGGGAAACTGATCAGAAATCATTTTTTTTATTTGAACCAGAAATATCATCAGCGTAATAGATTGATCGCGTGTGATTCATATATATATATATATATATATGCTTTACTATCAATCAGTCGACATGAGGTATAGAAACTGGAAGATGGTGACAAAAAGTAACCCTAATGACGAGACTGGTATATCTATTACTTAAATGAGAATGTAATAGACTCAACTCATTTGTGCATTACTGTTTGCATTACAATTATATATATATATAATATATATATTTTAAACATGTGTATATATATATATTAGAATGTTTAGCGTACACACATATATATATATATATATATATATATATATATATATGATATATAAATATGATATATTATAAACATGTGTATATGGGGCAAAGAAGTAATTCCAACAGTGTGGACAAGTTTAGGTTGTCACACTTACTTCTTTGCCCCATATAATATTTTAAGTAATTCGTATCCTACGGACATACATCCATTAGGATCCAGTGTTATATGGGATTTTACCGTCAATATTACTTCTTTGACCCATACACATGTGTATATATATATTATAAGAATGTTTAGCGTACACATATATTATACAAATAAATGTTATAGTCGTGTTACGCATGTATTTTACACATGTGTGCTGTACATACATTTTACACATGTGTGCCGTACATACATTTTACACATGTGTACCGTACATACATTTTACACATGTGTGCCGTACATGTATTTTACACATGTGTACCGTACATACATTTTACACATGTGTGCTGTACATACATTTTACACATGTGTACCGTACATACATTACACATGTGTACCGTACATACATTTTACACATGTGTACCGTACAGACATTTTACACATGTGTGCCGTACATGTATTTTACACATGTGTACCGTAGATACATTTTACACATGTGTGCTGTACATACATTTTACACATGTGTGCTGTACATACGTTTTACACATGTGTGCCGTACATACATTTTACACATGTGTCCCGTACATACATTTTACACATGTGTACCGTACATACATTTAACACATGTGTGCTGTACATACATTTTACACATGTGTGCCGTACATGCATTTTACACATGTGTACCGTACATACATTTTACACATGCGTGCCGTACATGTATTTTACACATGTGTACCGTACATACATTTTACACATGTGTACCGTACAGACATTTTACACATGTGTGCCGTACATGTATTTTACACATGTGTACCGTAGATACATTTTACACATGTGTGCTGTACATACATTTTACACATGTGTACCGTACATACAGTTTAAAAGCATGTGTACCGAACATACATTTAACACATGTGTGCTGTACATACATTTTACACATGTGTACCGTACATACAGTTTAAAAGCATGTGTACCGTACATACATTTAACACATGTGTGCTGTACATACATTTTACACATGTGTGCCGTACATACATTTTACACATGTGTACCGTACATACATTTTACACATGTGTACCGTACATATATGAACAGATTCATTTGATTTTACCAATTTATGTATATCTACATAATCACAAATACTAATACATATGGACATCAATCACTGGTTACCGAATCATACTCAATAAATATGGTATCAACTCATATTCAGAAATAAATAAATATGTTCAATGAGAAAGTTAAGATATGAAAACCCCAGTTGGTATAAACGTCTTACCTACAGGATACACACATACTGCTGATAAACAGGAACACACGCCGTCCTCGGTAGCCTTATAACACTGTATACACATCTCAGTCTTAGAAGTATTTTTACACTAAATACAATTCACGAAATTATAAAGTTCCATCCTTAATTTTGTCTAAAACTGACTCTTAAACAGTCAATCAACATACATACATATCTGTAAGATCTCTCTATTCGGCACGTGCATTACACATTCTGTGAAACATGATCGTCCAACCATGCATGCACGTCCGCAGGCTTAGAAGAAATACTGCCTTGTTTCAGCAGCTGAGCGCGTATACGTATATGAAGCGTACCTATAGATGTTTTATAGATATACAAGTATATGTGTGCTCGCTATCTGTCGATGGGTGTAGCAAGTTAAGATGAGTTCTGTGCTGTCTTCTAACAAACTGTTACGTTACACATCAGCCTTAGACAGAACAGAAACAGAGACCCCGTAGCCATTGTCGATTTCCATCACGTGCGCTCGCGAATCAGAACTGAAGTTAACATACTGGCTAGAAGATGTAATTCACTGGGAGAGAGATTGACAGCTCCCGGGAAAAAAAGGATGAACTTAAGAATTAAATTATACTTTCGTCTGCCAATTTCGTTTTATATCGAAGAGAAGATTTTAGACAATCTTATTTCATTGTCAATTAAATGGTTTAGCTATTCAGAAGTGACTCTATTTCACGGTAGGTTCATTCTGATGAGATAAAACTACTGTTATTATTCTAAAACTGTGTGAATCTGAGGGGAACCATCGTAAACTTCAAACGGAAGTCTTATCTTATACATTACAAAATAATGTTTATAATAATTTGCATCCTTTGTATAATAATGACGTCAATAATTAAAAACTTGCAGAGGAAGCATTTGTATAAATGACTCATCATTACTATATCAGATTTATAATGTGATATCGTGTTTCCTCTATAAGACGCACCGATAACGTGATTTGTTAATGTTTCCTGAATCAGTACAAATACACAAATGGGTTTGTTTGTATATACGTAATTGCTGTGTTTTAAAAGCAAAACACAAATTAAACTGTTCAATTTTTTGAACAAACAGAGGTCAAAGTAATTATCTTTGCCAAATTTGCATATATTTCCATCAGGAACTAAAAGTGCTATCACCTTGTAGATAGTTTCACCTTTTTGGTATACTTTTAAAAGCACATAGATATGTGCTGCTCAAGCATGCTGTCAAATCTTGCTTTATAGATAAATATATAATCATACAGCGAAAAAATGTGTTCCAGCAGAATGACAATACTATATTACAAATATACACTTGAAATATATGTATCAATCAATTTGGTGTTATAAGTCATATATACATGAATTTCACGTGTTTTATATATATATATATATGTGTGTGTGTGTGTATGTGTGTGAGTATTTGGTATGACGTTGGCCACGATTATAAGCGCTCGTGATAGGATTACTATAAATGGCTCTCTTTGGGTATGTTCAATTTACATCTTCATTTACTGTTTATGTATTTCTACGCGTAAATATATCTGAACATAGACAGAACAATTACCAGAAAATTTACCTTTAAAAGTGAAAACGACAATCAATCAGATTCGCCATTGTTCATAACCAATGTCTATTCCGGTCATGGAGGACTACCAGTAACTATCATGGCTACATCCAGTGCCCTTGTGTCCATTCATCAAATGTTGCTTACGGCGTCACTTATTAGTAGCCGAGTAGACCTGCGTGACCTAGTGACACCTGTACTACCAATACATAATATTCAAAACCAATCAAACCTACCAGCATCTGCCTCACAGGGAAACAACTGGCACGATTGATTTACAAATTCACGTACTCCCTTGTGTGTCATCGATTCTTGTGAAACACGTGCTCCGAACGATGGTCGTGAAAAACAAAGATCACTCACCTGTATATTCTATTGACTGACTTCAATCACTGTATTAGGCGTTGATATATCCACCTGTTTTATAGATAACACACACTCATTAGCACATTACCAAAACTGACAATTGATTAGTCGATATTTTATATTTAAGCCATAATCACCTTCAGTAGGTAACTAATATATCAGAGATGAGCAATGTAATACCCTGGTATTATCATCAGTGGTAACCGATCATTTGTTCCCTGGCTAACACTACAGCATTAGTCTACTAGCGGGTTACGCTCCAATAGCCAAACCGAGGCTATGAAATACGGACCTAATTGTAGTTTCTTAATATGCACTAGTGTGAGTCGATAGGGACGGAAACACATAATCGGAAGTTAACAAAACAGTCATATTTTATATGTAATAATCAAACTAACAATACTTAAATGAGTTACCTGATGGTCAAAACCTATTTCTGCCACAGTCCACTCCATACGGTCAATATATTCAGTTTCCCCTGACCACCGCTATCAGCTGAGGTTAATTAAGTTATTCGTGTTAGAACTCAACTGATCACACTGTCTGTGTCTAATAATATACAGATACACCTGTGTTTGTATGCAAGTAATTAAGTTAGACGGGCCTGATCATGAAGAACATTGTAGACAAACATTTCTAAAGACATGTGTTGTATACACATTTGTAAATCATGTTTGTGCACATATTGTGTTCATTTAAAGATGGATTTTACGTTTATTATCAAAACAATCTGTATTGTTAAACGGTGTCTTTAAATTCAACCATTTAAACTCATCATTATCACGACACACTATTTAACAAAGTGCTATTTACTTGATAAGATATACGTTTACAAATGATTCATTAAAAAGTTAATTGATGAAGAGACATTGGTCTTAAAACACCCAGCTTGGTATCAATTTAAATAGACAAACAAGGCCTAATGCATGCATGGAGGAGGATAATTATCTTAAGATTTTCAAAAGGTAAAGATTTAGATTAAGGTTTAAACGCAGTCTGTAACATGGAATATATTCTTACAAAAATGCAGCCGTTAATGTTTTTCTAGTGGTAGACTGACTATATTTAAAACACGAAAAGCAGACTAGCTAGCTGTTGTAAGTTCACTGGTTACCAGTATAACACCAAGACTAAATACACCAAATGTAGACTGACTACCTATGTTAGACTCCCTAATGCATTAACGTGTCTGTAGGCGTCAAAATAGCATTAGACATATACCTGTGTATGCTTAATGCATCAATTTTAGAAGGCATAGTATCCCGTATTGTATGTGTTAAATTAGTCCGAATTATTCTGACGTTTCATCGACTTTTTTCATATCGGTCTGTCGTCGATTAACGTCAGAACTCCGGCCCTCTATAATATGCGGGGAAAATGCACTAGGTGGTATCAATAACATGTTTCAAAGATCATTACGAAAAGTATGTTCCAACGTTTTCTATACCAACCCATGTTTTTAATGGAAATTAGGCCATGAGCAATGTCACATGACTTGACGAGATCTCGCGTTACCGAAGGTATTTCCCAACGTTATGACGTAGGCCGGCGAGATTTTAGTCACGTGGCATTAGAAGGCGGGGCTATCAAAAAACTAGAGTAAAACAGAGTAAGTTTGAAAAAATATGTTTTTAGTGACTGTATTGGTTGTTTGAGGCATGTTATGTATGTTCATCTTGTGCATAAAGAATAGATCTTTCGATCCATGTGCGACATGTGTGCGAAAGTGACGATTTGTTTCTAAAATATCAGTTTGAAGTGCGCTCCGGGCGCGGGTCGCATATTTCGCGCATATTATAGAGGGCCGGAGATCTCACGTTAATCGACGACAGACCGATATGAAAAAAGTCGATAAAACATCAGAATAATTCGGACTAGTGTTAAATGATATTGTCCCCATTGTCATTGTCCCTAATGCCATTGTTGGATTGTTGGCATTGTCATTGCCCCTGTTGTCATTGTCCCCTTTGTCCCAATTGTCCCTATTGCCATTGTCGTCTTTGTTGACATTGTCCCAATTGTCCTCATTGTCATGGTCATTATTGTCATTGTCCTCATTGACATTGTCCCGATTGTCCTCATTGTCATTGTCCTCATTGTCATTGTCCCGATTGTCTTCATTGACATTGTCCAGATTTTCCTCATTGTCATTGTCCCGATTAGCATCATTGTCATTGTCCCGATTGTCCTCAATGACATTGTCCCGATTGTCCTCATTGTCATTGACCCGATTGTCCTCATTGTCATTGTCTCGATTGTCCTCATTGTCATTGTCCTCATTGTCATTGTCCCGATTAGCATCATTGTCATTGTCCCGATTGTCCTCAATGACATTGTCCCGATTGTCCTCATTGTCATTGTCTAGATTGTCCTCATTGTCATTGTCCCGATTGTCCTCACTGACATTGTCCCGATTGTCCTCATTGTCATTGTCTAGATTGTCCTCATTGTCATTGTCCTCATTGACATTGTCCCGATTGTCCTCATTGACATTGTCCCGATTGTCCTCACTGACATTGTCCCGATTGTCCTCATTGTCATTGTCCCGATTGTCCTCACTGACATTGTCCCGATTGTCCTCATTGTCATTGTCCCGATTGTCCTCATTGTCATTGTCCTCATTGACATTGTCCCGATTGTCCTCATTGACATTGTCCCGATTGTCCTCATTGACATTGTCCCGATTGTCCTCATTGTCATTGTCCCGATTGTCCTCACTGACATTGTCCCGATTTTCCTCATTGTCATTGTCCCGATTGTCCTCACTGACATTGTCCCGATTGTCCTCATTGTCATTGTCCCGATTGTCCTCACTGACATTGTCCCGATTGTCCTCACTGACATTGTCCCGATTGTCCTCATTGTCATTGTCCCGATTGTCCTCACTGACATTGTCCCGATTGTCCTCACTGACATTGTCCCGATTGTCCTCATTGTCATTGTCCCGATTGTCCTCACTGACATTGTCCCGATTGTCCTCACTGACATTGTCCCGATTGTCCTCATTGTCATTGTCATTATTGTCATTGTCCTCATTGACATTGTCCCGATTGTCCTCATTGTCATTGTCCTCATTGTCATTGTCCCGATTGTCTTCATTGACATTGTCTCGATTTTCCTCATTGTCATTGTCCGATTTTCCTCAATGTCATTGTCCCGATTGTCCTCACTGACATTTTTCCGATTGTCCTCATTGTCATTGTCCCGATTGTCCTCATTGTCATTGTCCCGATTGTCCTCACTGACATTGTCCCGATTGTCCTCATTGTCATTGTCCCGATTGTCCTCATTGTCATTGTCCCGATTGTCCTCACTGACATTGTCCCGATTGTCCTCATTGTCATTGTCCCGATTGTCCTCATTGTCATTGTCCCGATTGTCCTCACTGACATTGTCCCGATTGTCCTCATTGTCATTGTCCCGATTGTCCTCATTGTCATTGTCTCGATTGTCCTCATTGTCATTGTCCTCATTGACATTGTCCCGATTGTCCTCATTGACATTGTCCCGATTGTCCTCACTGACATTGTCCTCATTGATATTGTCCCGATTGTCCTCATTGTCCTCATTGACATTGTCCCGATTGTCCTCATTGTCATTGTCCCGATTGTCCTCATTGACATTGTCCCGATTGTCCTCATTGTCATTGTCATCATTGTCATTGTCATTATTGTCATTGTCCTCATTGTCATTATTGTCATTGTCCTCATTGTCATTTTCATTATTGCCATTGTCCTCATTGTCATTGTCATTATTGTCATTGTCCTCATTGTCATTATTGTCATTGTCCTCATTGTCACTGTCATTGTCATTATTGCCATTGTCCTCTTTGTCGTTGTCATAATTGTCCTCATTGTCGTCATTGTCATTGTCCCCATTGTCCTCATTGTCATTGCCATTATTGTCATTGTCCTCATTGTCGTTGTCATAATTGTCCTCATTGTCCTCATTGTCATTGTCCTCATTGTCATTGCCATTATTGTCATTGTCCCCATTGTCATTGTTCCCATTGTCCTCATTGCCATTATTGTCATTGTCCCCATTGTCATTGTCACGACACTGATACCACCACCTAATGACAGCAGAATTAGTTTTTCAAGTCAAGTCTGATTTATAGTTATACTGCAAACATCATTTGTTTTTGGCTTCAAAAAAAACTTTGTTTGATTGAGCCTGCGAGTCTCTAGGATAATCTGAGATATTGAACACGCGACAGGTATGTTATTATACTAGTTCGTTCTACGAAACTATCGATCTGAACATTCTTATCAATACAGGTAAATATTGAACAAACATCGAGCACGCGTGGACATGACTATTGTACTGTACTCAGATAAATTCAATCATTACACTTTGTTATCTGGGATGCACTTTAAATATGTTTCCAACCCTTGAAAGAAATACTAGTATTGCCGAATAGCGTTCAGAAATACCAATGTGGTAGATTAATGACCTTGTTTTCATTCATCGGTCGTTAAACCACAATTCATTTCAAAACGGAAGTTTAACTTACGAGAAGGACTAAATCTTTTATTATGTTTTAGAACCTGTGCAGCTACGACGAAGCAATTCGATCAAGAACTATAGATCGTAAATAACAGGCAATTTAAATAAAGATATGTTTACTTTTACATAAAATGAATTGAATTTCCGGCTTAACCCAGAAACAAAATGTTCGATCGATAAGATTTTATCTTAACGAAAAAGGGACGTGTACATTTTCTATCGGCAGCCAAATTTTGCGGTCGGTAAGAGAAATGTCATAAAGTAAAAGGTTGCAACAGTGTGGTCTTTATCAGGCTGGTTCATCTCACAAAACTTTCCGCCATTCATTTCACAAGCTGGTGTTATTACTAAAATGAGTCAAGGAATGATCCAATGTCGATTTCACAGACACGCCCATGTCGATTTCACAGACACCGCCATGTCGATTTCACAGACACCCCCATGTCGGTTTCAAAGACACCCCAATGTCGATTTCACAGACACCCCCATGTCGGTTTCAAAGACACCCCAATGTCGATTTCAGAGACACCCCCATGTCGGTTTCAATTATTTCCTTCGACATCCTGCAGTTTCCATAATATCTTTTGCTCTTACTGTATTCATTGGCAACAGATCGAAACTAAAAAAAAAATAGTTTTTAATTTTGACATAATTAAAAAAATCAATGTATAATATAAATAACAATAACTTTCCTTTGTGCCAAGTTATAGGTATTGAAGAGAAAGACGATTATTATCTGGACATTGTTACAGTCCATCCAGTACAAATCACAAACTACTTCATATCAGTGAAACAAACAAATTCCAGAAAAGTTAAAAGCTCTCTTTTCAGGACTTAGTATACGTTGTCTCGTTCGATTGTTGCTATGACATATTCTAGGAGTGTAGAAAGCGAAAGAGTATCGAGGATACAAATACAAGTTTAAAAAATAGCCTAATGTCAACACTGAAAACCTCAGTAATAAACAAAAACGAAAATATAACCATTTCATGCTGCAAAGGTAATACCTGTCCTAATTCTTTCTGTCAAATCCTGGAAAATGCATGAACAAAGATTTGATCAACGCAAACACTGATATTACATGAATCAGGCTATTGTGACTACTGTCAACCCGGGCTACGTTGTGAACTGAGAAATGGAACGATAGAAATTAAGGTAACCAGGGTTTGGTAATAGTTTTTTTATGAAATTTTCACTAAACATTTTACAATTGTAACAAAAAAAGAAAGGTTGTATTCCCTTTAGTACAGATTGTTACACAAAATAAGAAAGATTGTATTCCTGTAAGAAGAAATTATTATTATATCACATATATTTTATTTTATTTAGTACAAACTATTACAATATTACAAAGGCTGTATTCCTTATATTAAACATTGTGACGACAATACAAGAATAATTCAGTTAGTTTTGTATAAGCGTGAAAACAAAACTTGGTGTATATGTCGTAAATTCCCTATTGGAGTGGTAAGTAAATATATGTATATGTTAAAGTGTTCTCGCATTGCTGTTTTAACCTTTGCAATATTTAAACACGTCTTTTATTTCTTCTGTATAGTGATATCCGTCCAATGATGACTCTTGAGTCTCCAAAAGAGATCCGAGTTTATAAATTGTCACTTAAAGAAATGACATGATAAGGACATCAGAAATATACTTTTCATGAGTATCGGCAGTCTTCATTACTAGTCGTCGACCGGTGCTACCGGAGTGGACTAACCTTTTTTTCTCCGGTACATCTGTCTTTCTATGTTCTGGGCATTTCTCATAAACTCACTCACCTACAAATTGCAAAATTTTCCAGGCGAGTGCCACCTAGGATTGCGGAGTGTCCTACGCTAACATCAAGTCGCATGGCAAGCTACATATGATGTCCCAGCCCTTTGTTCATTCTTCATACGAAAGTATCTGGTTGCGGGGGGGGGGGGGGGGGGGGGGGGGCAATTGATTTTTCACGCTACTTTGAAATGTTTATATTATACTGTAATATTATATACTAAAACGGAATACACTTTGTGTAACAACGGTGGAGTTGCGCAATGTACGGGAAGAATTTCATCATCTATGTCAGACAAAATAACACATGTCCTTCTATCAAATCAGATTTTTCTTGGCATATATGACTCATACATACTAGGAAGTTCCGTAACGATACTTACAGCAATTAGCTTTTACAGTCAGAAAATATAACCGTATTTAAATATTGTAAGATCAAACGTGTCAGTGAAATGTTATATCTTAATCCAATTCCACATACGCCATGTGATAAACACAATTGAAGCCGTTGAACAAAATGAGTTTACCTGGCTGTGGACAGGAATTAACTACTCATTCGCCAGCTGGCTTTTCCCATAACGACCTTTCCGAAGTATAAAGGAGACAGTAAATACATTTCATTTTCCTTCCTTGATCATATTTGGTTTCACATGGATTACTTATAAAAAAATATATAAAGGAAATAATGAAGTCTGTTTTTTTAAATCACCGCATGCTAATTATATAGTGTAGATTTCACTTATAGATTTCATATTTTCTTTTGTTATCCTAGAACGATTATGAACTATGTAGTGTAAAGCGCCTTTTCAAATTAGATAGGCCTACGTATACAAAAGTTTCATGTAATCATTTAACCCTAAAGTCACATTTGAAACTTATCAAATCAAAGACTGGGCGAGTCTAGTTCAAACATGTAGGGGTGAATGAGTTAGTTACAGTTATGCGATTGATTATTCTCTTATACACCTCATAGCAAATGTTGTAATGTGTGGTAAGGAAATCATCACAGTTCAATTACGTTGTTAGTTTTAAAATATGCATGTAAAAATATCATTAAACCGTAGATAGTAGAAAAGTTACTTCATCAAATCGGCAAAAGTCGAAACAGATAATTTAAATCCGTATGAAATCTACGAACCCCACACAAATAGATAAGGTACAGGAAGTTGTTACCATGGTGACATATTGGCATCTCTGAACTGTTTTATTGACTCTATCCATTAAAAGTAAGCCTATTACCCTGGAATAGCTGGAACCGAGTTAACTTGCTAATGACTGCGACTACACGAGACAATCCCTGTTACATCACACCTTCACGAGATACTAGTGGGCTTATCTACATTAACTGTATATAGGTCTAGAGTTGGGAAACTTTAATGTGTCAAAAAACGCGTATGTCACCATCTTACACTTCGATAATATCGGCATTTGAGTATCAGCGTGTAAGCCCACAGCATAGTGCTGGTGAATATGTTAATTGTTTAAATCATTAACTGGTTAATATACTCAATGGTTAACACACTAGCTGGTTAATATATTAACTGATTAATACATTAATTGGTGAAAACACTAATTGGTTCATACCGTAATTGATAAATACACTGATTGGTATAATAACGAATTGGTTTAAATATCATTTCTTTAATACACTAACATGTCAATAATTACCTAATACACTGACTGGTAATTACACTGATTGTTTAATACAATAATTCCTTAAAATACTAATTGGCTAATCTATTAATTTCTACAAAATGTAATTGGTTAATACACCGACTCGTTCACATACGTATAAGTTAATGCAATGACTGATTTATCCTTTAATTGGTTCCATCGCTTACTTGTTATTACATTTATCAGTAAATACACTAATGTATTAATATATTAATTGATTAATAGATTTCTTTTTTAATATTTTTATTATGATTAATTTTAAGAGGAAAGTTTACTATAGAAATTATCATATTTCTGTTCTTTGTCAGATATATTCTTTTCTTGTAACTGCTGTAAACTAAAATAAGTGTTATGCGAATTATAAAGAAATGTGTTCGCTAGGTAGGACTTTTTGACGTTTCAATTTAACAAAACAGATAATTCAGAATACTAGTACTTATGATTTCCTTATTACAAAACCTATCATTTCGTTATAATCAATTAACCTTGGGTACCTATTATTTCGTTATATCCTGGATACCTGTCATTTCGTTCCTGTCAGTTCACAACCACAAATCTAGTACAAAACAGTACAACTTGGCTACCTGTCAGTTTGCAAGTACAAAACAAAAATAAAGGTTACCTGTCGTTTCGTTTTAACGAAACAATTCATTTAGGCCTCATGTTACCGGGTATTGTATTATCACAAACAAAAGTTCATCAAGGCTTACCGAGTACTAAACGCTTATCTAAGCTACGTATTAGCTATGTATTAAATGTTTGTCATTTCGTTAGTACAAAACATTTCTCTTAACTACTTCCTTCAAACATAAAGCCAAATTGAGTTGCAAAACCTTTTCCTTACTCATGAACACTGAAAGCATCCCCATGTTTCCGTGACAAAGAGAATGGACTTGACAACTTACCTTCAACACCACTTAGGATTAACAATGTTGTGTTAAGTTGTTCTTAAAATGATGGATATCGTTGAAACACAGTTAAATTTACTATTGTAATTTTCTCTGTGAAATCTAGGCTTTCGGCGGCAAACTATCCTTTTACAATCGGAAGTAAGACCTTGGGAACCTAATCGATATGACAAAAATAACCGCTATCACAGAGCATCAACGCCAATGC